GGTGAGAAGGCACCACCTATAAGAAAGTGGGCCCTCCCCAGACACCAAATCTACCCATACTTTGATCTTGAACTTCCCAGCCTCCAGAACTATGTGAAATAAAATTCTGCTATTTATAAGACACCCCAACTACAGCCTGTCTGGATTATAGCGGCCTGGATGGACTCTATGACCAGTTAATACCACTCATCCTCAGATCTCAGCTCCAGACTCCTCCTCAGGGACCCTGCCCTGACACTCTCCCCACCCTCCTAAGTGCTCACACAGCTCTATACTTCTCCCTTGCCTAAAACTAACCATGGCTGATACATATTTGTGTGATTATTGATGAACATCTGTCTCCCCCAGTGGACTGCGGGGCTGTGGCTGACGCTCATCATGGACTCTGGCTCAGAGCCTGCACATGGTAGGGCTCAGGAAGTAGCTGGTGACTGGATAAATAAATGATTGAAAGTTGGCTTTGGCAGCTTAAGTGTTGGGTATGTTCAAGGCTAGAAAGGAAGTCTAAGACCTCTAGGAGAATATCTTAAATGCTAGGCTGAAGTATATGTACCCAAACCGGCAGGCAGGGAGGGATCTTGAACACCTCTCAGTGGGGCAGTGCCGGAAGTGCCATGATGCCTGAGAATGCTGGCCTGGGTGGGGGACAGGGAACTGAGTGGGATCTGGGGACTAATTAGGAATCTTGTAAGAATTCTGGGTCAAAAGGGCTGGACTCTGGGTAAAGAAGTGCTGATTTGTGGGTGGCACCTGTGGCTCAAGGAGTAGGGTGCTAGCATCATATGCTGAGGGTGGCGGGTTCAAGCCCAGCCCTGGCCAAAAATTGCAACAACAACAACAAAAAAAGAAGTGCTAATTTGCTTTTGGGGAACTATTGGTATCCCCCTTACTCCTCTGTGCATTCTGAGAGTCCCTGGGCAGACGTGAGTAGCAGCCTGATGTGATCCTCTGAGATGTGGGGAGAAGGAGATGGCCATGGTACAGACACTATGCAACCCAGGCCTTCCTCTGAGGTTGTCTGACTGCTTGGCCCTGAGTAGCTCAGCCACCCAGCCCCAGGCAGAGCCAGAGAGTCTGCTCAGAGCACTGCCAGGGAAGCAGGCCAGCCGAGCAATGGGTGGAGGTGTACAGGGACAGAAGGCAGATTACATGTCACTTCATATTAGCCACACCAGCAACTTTCTCAATCCACCAGAGAGGGGAAAATTAATTGCAATTTTGAGGACACGCCAAAAGCCAAAATAACACTGAAATAGAAGGAAAATGTATCTCCTTCCCGGTCACGAGTGGATAACACCTTCCAGAAGGTGAGATTTGCTTACCTGTGAGATACATCTCCTCCCCTTCAGTGAACATCTGGTGGCAGCGTACACATCTGGCACAAGTTGGGTGGTAATGCTTCCCTCCTGCCTATGGAAATCAAGAGATGAAACAGGAGGCCAGACTTAGGGCTGCTGTCCAGTGAGTTTGAACATTTCTTGAGTACATCAGTGTTGCTGGCCTATTCACGACCCTGAGGTTGGCTGGAGGCTACCCATAGGAGTCAAAATCATCTAAAAGTCCACCCATGAGCTTGATGATTCACATCATGAGTCTGTGATGGCAGTTCAGGAGACCTCCCTGGACTCCTATTCTTCTATTCTACAGTGGGAAGAACCCTTCAGAAGTTCCTACCTCCTTATTTCCAGATGTGCAAACAGTCTTGCTTTGTGGACAGACCAAAATTTTTGTAAGTAAGGGGGCCTCACCACTAGTGGTACATGAAATAGTTTTAAGCAGTACACAAACCTGGGATTTAATAACATTGAATAAATGAAAAAAATGATCTTTCCAATCCTTTATCAATTCTTCTGATTTTACCAAGGAGACAGTACCAGTTTGGTGCCAGTGTGTCATTCCTATCTATCCCAAACTTACTAATCTACCTTTTTAAGAATGGGAATAGGCATGGTGGGGCTTGGAACCTCCACAAGCAATAGAATCTAACTAAAACTCTCTCTGTTTTCTGGTTCCTACAATACAGCAAGTACATACTGCTTTTCCTTTTATGTTGTATAAGTTTTTTTATATGTAAGTGAGCCAACCTAAAGATAAATTAAAGAATTAGGGGAGGATGAGCATACAAGATTCACGTATGTGGCAAATACAGTGAGACTGCACCCTGCTCCAGCTGGAAGGGCAGAGCTTTAGGGCTCAGCAGACAAAAACTGAGACCTGTTGCAGAGCACTGATCCCCAGGCCAGTCTCAAGAGTGTTGCTTCTGCCCCATCCCCAGCTCACCCCAATGTGAATCCCCTTTCCTGTTCCCACTTTCTTCCCCACTATTATTTAAATTAAAAATCAAAATGACTTGTAGCTGCAAATTCTACTTAGGGAGAAGACACAGCCTCAGAGAAGGTTGTGCCTTAGGTGTCACTGGAAGCCAGTAGTGGTGTTGGGCTAGACCAGCCCAGCATTCACTTCTGTGCTGACAATTGTGATATGAAAATTCCAGCTAAGAGAATTTGACATGGAAAGTCCCTTCCATGATACTTCGAATTTCTATATAGGAGGAGGTTAGGGCAGTGATGGGGTTGGAAGGTGGGGCTTGTTTTGAAGAAATATTTGCAACGCAAGGCAAGGGTTTTTGGAAGGAAAAAAAAACCGGGGGGAAATGGGAAAAAATTGGGGTTGTTAAAGGACCCCTCGAAGCCACCACTTAGTCTGATGCTAATGGGCTCCTTCCAATTAAAAAATTATAACTGCATAATAGGGAGGCTTGCCTAGTCTGGAGATACTCTTCTACTCTAAAAAGAGCAAGAATGTGGAAAAGGTAGATTTTTACAAGAGAAAAAAACAAAAACAAAAACTCCAGTATCTCTTTTTTCATTCTTGGTTGTTTACATGGCTCCCACCAATGAGAAAATGTCCTTGTCATCATCAAAGCAAATATGTTCAAACTTTGGAAGAAGCCTGCTATTTTCTCAAGCTGCAATGTCGTGGGACTGATCCTCTTGTACCATGACAAGGACAATAGTTTTAATTAGTAGCCTCTTCCTACTCTGTGTCTCTTTATCATTTTCAATTATAGACCTGTTTTCCAGGCTGGCAATAGCACACTTGGCAAAACTGAAGCTTAGCATCTTCCTAAATGTCACATCCCACCACCCTGCTCCAGCTGGAAGAGGCTTCGTGCCCACTGCAGCACCCCGGTCATGGATGGTGTCGGTAACAGCTGGAGGAAAGGGAAGCTCTTAGGGCAGCCCACACCCAGCGTAAGCCACAACCAAGTCAGTGACACAAGATGAACCATTTCATCTGTTAACAAACCAAAGTCAAGAAAATAGTGACAGGAAATGGCAAAGTAGGTACCACTCAAATGGAGCCCCATGGAGAGGACTGAGAATGGCAAAGGAGGGTAGGAAAGGCAGCAACAAGGAAACCAGGCTTGAGGTCCTCTTGTCTGAGGTCACAGACAAGAGAGGAGGAAGTGTGAGTGAAAGCATATAGAGCTGTGTCACTGAGGAAGGGATCGTGGGGTGGCCTGGAGAGGGAATGGGAAGGAGTGGGAGAAGAGAAGGAGAAACAATTAGTTAAATGCTCGCGTGGTGTTGCCAGGCGATGCCTGAGCTCTGCAGTGGGCAGCTGTCATTCCTGCCTGGCCAGTGTCCTTTCCTCCTTCTAGAAATAGCACAAGCCTTTCCTCGGAGGGATCACCTGTCCCTCTCATTAGTCCATGGGGTTCAGTAGTGCTGACCCCATCAATAAGAAGATTGCAACTCCATGGCAGGGCTCTCAGTCCAGTAATGGGCCTGAGATCTTCCAATGAATGTCAGTCCCAGGATGTTTGCTAAGCTATTAGAAAAGAGACACTCTCCACTGGGGATTCTGGCTGATAGAATCTAAGCCTGGAGCTACTGGTGTCCAACTTCCCCATCACAAAGAACAGCCTTCTCAAGAATAAAGCCAGCACCGAAAAAAGTGGAGCCAAGATGGCCAGAGATTCCAAATGATTTTGTTTAAACACTGGATCCAGCTGTGTCTGAAGACAGATGACTCCTGGGCTTTTTATTATAGATGCTGATAAATTTCCTTTTCAGTCTGAATCATTTGAGTATATCTTCTATACTTTCAACCAAAAAAGTCTTGATTGACATTTCTATTAGGGAAAAATGGCAGTGGTATTTCTCTACTGAGAGATATTGACTAAGACTCCGAGAAAATAACTTGCCTATGGTTTCATGGCTAGACGGGGTAAAATTTGAATCCAGGTAAGTTTCGTGGCAACCCGGAGAGCCCTGAGTGGCTGAGAACTGTGGACATCAGTATGGGAGACAGGAGCTTTGTCTCAACCGGAAATAGTGCCTGTGACCCAGAGAAAACACTGTATGTCTTGGGTCTCACTTTTCTCATCTGTAAAATGAAGAGGTTGGAATAGTTGGTTGCTAAAAGTCTCTTCTAGCTCTAAGAAAAAAAAAAATCAATAAGTCCAAGATGTTAATGGAGCCTCACACAAATGGAATCAATTGAAACCCAGTCACAGCAGCTGCCCAGGAGGAAGAGACGACCACAGTGGCAAACAACAGTAACACTCGGGGAGAAGGCAGCCACCGCCAGCAGGATTTCAAAGCAGCTTGGAAATGCTCGAACAAATTCCCATCTGCAGCCCTGTGTGTAACTGCAGCTCTTTCCTTCCTGAAAGAAAAGTCTACTTTTGTAATCTCCTGGCCCACTGACCCTTTGCCCGCCACATGCCGGGCGCCTCTTCCCCACAGTTCTGCAGGCCCAGCCAACGATTCCTCTAAAGGGGACCTTCCCGCACGTAGCAGCTTTTGCTCTGCTCACACACTCCTTACCTGCTTCAGAGTTTGACCCACATGCCAACTGACCTTGCCTGTTTTCTGAAGCTTTGCCCTCTCGACGGCCATTCTGCACCTTGTCTTCCCACATCTTCCTCTGATAACTCCTGCGTCTCTTTCTGAATCTCTTTCACCTGTGAGCTGCTCTGACAAGAGGTTGGTTCAGCCCCCTTTCTCTCTCTTTCTCTGTCTTAGAAATGCTGAGGGCTCCCATGGTGCTTTGATTCCAATCCTAGAGCTCCGGAGATCAACCCCTCTGGGCCTGAGCTTTGTTGCTGAGCTCTGATCCACATTTATGAAGGCCTTCTTGAAATCTTCTTGGGATTTCAATCACAACTGGTCCCAAATGGCCCTCATCATTTTCTGCCAGCTTAGCCAGCCTCTTTCCCTGCCACCCCCAGATCTGCAGATGACAATACCCGGCTTCCTATCACCCAGGCTTGAGGCTTTGGTATGACTTGTGGCTGCTGCTTCTTTAAATCCACATCCACAAATTGTCTTACATCTTCAGAGCACCTGGAATCCTACAAGGGGGCTGCCCTTCCACTGTCACTGGGTCGTGCAGGGGCCTTCCCTCCTGCCTTCCCATGTGGCTTCCTTTCTTTAGCATCAGTTTGAATCAGGTCACCACTGCTCAGTCTTTTCACGTGCCCACTGTCCAGTGCCCATTGTCCAGGTAAGCTCCTGGTCCTGGGATGCCAGGCCCTCAGAAACCAGGCCTGCAGCCCTCTCCGTGCTAAGGCCAGGGCTTCCCCATTGTGTTTCTTACTGCTCCCTGCATTGGCTCAATAGTTTCCCAGCTCAGTGCGTCTGTTTATCCCCTCTGACTCCTTGCAGGCAATTCTCCCCATAGTAACCACAGAAACCTTTTTAAAACAAATCTTATCATGTTGCTTTCACCTTGACTTAAAGCACCCTAATGGCTTTCCATTGCACTTAGTAGAAAACCCAAACTCCCAAGCATGGCCTACAAGTCCTACATTAATGCCTTATCTGATATATTTCATCCTCCTTCATTCTCAATTTACAGAACTCAGCTACTTTGGCCTTTTCCCCTCTTCCCTGAGTCAAATTCCTTCTTCCTCTCAGGGGCATCCAAACTTTTGGCTTCTCTGGGTCACATTAGAAGACGAGCTGTCTTGGGCCACATGTTAAATACACAAACACCAACACAAGCTGATGAGCAAAATATAGTCTGTGTACAATTTTCATGATATCTATCACCACAGATAAGCAAAAAGTCCCTCACATAATCTGCATGCAGCCTGTGGGCCAAGGGTTGGACACCCCTGCAGGCTCAGGGCTCCTCAGGGATGGCCTCCTTACTCTCAGGGGTCTGTTCTTCTAGCTTCCTCAGAGAGTCCCTCACTGGCTGCTACATCCTCCCCTGCAGGTCCCACAGGTGGCTGCAGAATCCTTCCCAACACAGCACTCACCGTAAACACAATCAACTGGTGAGATTTGGCAGAATTAATGATTCTGTTTGCAGTAGCTGGTCCTATCTGCCATCCTCCAGCTACTGTCTGATGGAAAAACTGAGGCCTAGAGAGTCAGTGATATTCATTTCAAAATGATCATGAGTTAGCAAATAGAGTCAATTTTAGATCCCACTTATTCCTACTATTAGGCTATTATTTTTCCATCGCACCAAATGCTTTCCTGTTTCTAATTCCTCAGGGTGGGTGATCCCAAAGTACAGGAAGACGGCTGCCAGGCCCACAGGGTATGGGAAGGACGGCCAGGGAGGCCAGAGGACAGGTGGCTTGGGTGGGAGCTCAGCAAAGGTGCTGCAGTTGTCTGTCGCTGGCAGAACGAGTTGTGCATCCCAGGCTGCGGAGAGTCGTTGCCATGGTGACGGACCAGCCAAAGAATGGCTTGGGGAGCAAGCTGCTAGACAAGCTGGTTCTGAAATCAGCACATTACCAAATACTTAAAAAAAAAAAAAAAGGCTTCCATCCTCTGGCAGGGCTGGGAGAAAAGTAATTGCCCTTCTCCAGAAATTTGTTAGGGTCCGAATCCAAAGATTCAACTGATTTTCCCAGAACAGCATTTTTTTTTAACTGGGAATCATTTTGTTCCTCTTCTCATTTTGGGGTTACCCAGAGAAGTCAGGAAGGTTATCTGCTCAAGGTCATGTAGCCAGTAAAGTTGGGGGAGGTTGAGGCTAGTGATGACTTTTTGGAGTCCCAGGCCATTTTGCTCAAACATTTTCATGGTTACTTACACTCACTTACCTCCAAGACCCTGCCACTGATGTATCGGTCACAAGTCTCACATTTAATGCCAAACTGGGAGTGGTAGTCAGACTCGCAGTATGGAACGCCATCCCTGTAAGAGGGTATTCACACAGGACAAGGAAGTTAGGGGGAGTCAGCAAGGGTATCACAGGGCAGCTAGTTCCAGGACCTGCAGCCTATGGGGGCTCGTTTATTCAAAAATTTCACTTGTGCTCCCAGCTCAGTTGATAACAGGATACCGGCCTTCTCCAACTAGATACCCCCAATACCTCCTGTGTGCTCCATTTTTATCCAATATTTATGACTTAGCAGACAGTGATAAGATTGCTGTTAATTATTCTTACACTACCCCCTACTAGTGCCAGCCACTTACCCTTATTGCTTGGTGTGTCCCAGACCCTCTGATGATGTTTTATATAGATTATTTCATTAAATCCTTATGGCAGCCTTAGGAGTCAGAACTATTCATATCCTCATTGTGTGGATGAGAAAACCCAAGTATAGAGCCATTAAGTGACTTGCCACGGGTCTCCCAGCATGACCTAGAACTGAATCCCAAGCCAGGTGGTCTGGTTTGCCACTCAGGTTGTCATGAGGATTGAAGGAGATGTGTGCAGTCCATGCTAGGGCTCAGGACTGTGCCTGGCCAGAGTGAATATTCAGCAAATGGCAGGTGGAGGAACAACCATGATTACTGAGAGGGGTCTTGGAGGAGGACAGTTGGTGCTCAGTTCTCTAGGGCTACCAGACAGCTGGGAGCATCGAAGAGCTATGCCTAGCCTCTGGACCCCACCAAGCTCTGAAGATTCGGTCTGAATTCTTTTTTTTTTTTTTGAGACAGAGCCTCAAGCTGTCCCCCTGGGTAGAGTGCAGTGGCATCACAACTCACAGCAACCTCCAACTCCTGGGCTCAAGCAATTCTCCTGCCTCCACCTCCCAAGTAGCTGGGACTACAGGTGCCCTCCACAACACCTGACTATTTTTTGGTTGCAGCCGTCATGGTTGTTTGGTGGGCCCGGGCTGGATTCGAAGGCACCACCTTAGGTGTATGTGGCTGGCGCCTTAGCCACTTGAGCCACAGGCACCGAGCCTAGGTCTGAATTCTTGAGGAGAGAGAGAGAGATGTCTCCCCCACTTAGGGGTATAAGAAAACTTGGCTCAGACATTTTGGAAGCCTAAGGAGAGGCATGCCGTTTTTCCATCTTAAAACTGCTGGCATGTTGGGACTGCTAGGGCCCGCCCTGGGAGGCAGGGCAGTGAGTGTTCTCCTGAAGGGGAAGTGCAACCAGAGCTGATGCCCAACCAAGGTCTGCAGTTAAGACGGTGCCTACAGGCAGGAACTTGTTTGTGAGCCCCTGAGACATGCCGTCCCCAACCCTTTCAACCAGGTTCTCAGTCTGTGGGTGGGAGAGGGTAACAACTCTCAAGGGGAAAAGTCATTTGTCAGGAGGTGGGTACAGTACATTTGGGTATAAATGCCAGCATAACTTTACTTGGATTCATCGTTGATGAGGCCTTGTGGAATTCAAAATACACACAATTCTGAAAAGAGTCAGATAGTGAAATCAATATTTACTGGCACTTACTAGGTGAGAAGCCTACATCTCTGATCCCTACAAGGTAGGGAATTCCTTTTATAAATAAGGAAACTGAGATTTGGACCAGTTCAGTCAAGGTCACACAGCCTGGGTATGTACCCCAGGCTTCTGATACCAGAGTCAGTGCCTCTAAGCCCCTGCCACTCTGCTGGCAGCCAGATGAGGGGCCCAGAGCCAGACAGTAGAGGTGCCAGGTGTGGTGGGCGATCTGGGCTGGGATTCCTTGAAAGGAGCTCAGGGCAAGCCCTTACTTCCCCAGTGAATTCTAACTTAGGCTCCCAGACTCAAGGATTCCTGGTGACTTACCAAGGGCATTCTTTACTTGGCAGGCCAGAGGGAATGCTAAGCTCCTACCAACATGGCACTCAGAGCTCTCAGTGATCTGACCTTAGCTCATTCTGCAGTTGGGACCCTGCTTTATCTGTGCACACACATTGCTCCCACACAGGATGGAGGTATCTAACACCCATCTGCCATCTCCCTGCCCTTGCCTGGCTAGGCATTCTGCCTAGAAGCCCCTCCTTAACCTTTTCAAATCTCACCTCCTTTCTCAAGGTCCACTCAAATATCACCGCCTTCTGTGAAGCTCTCATAGATTCCAGGCTCCACTTCCTGCTAGTTAGAAATGATCTTTCCTTTCTCTGAATATTCACAGCCCTTCCCTTTACCTCAGACAAAGGCAAGTGTTGTCTGGCCAGCCCCTATTTCCCCTTCCGCGGGAGGCAGTACCATCCTGGGATTTTCCTTTGGGAGCCACCCCTTCCCACTCAAGGTTGCTGTGGCTGCTCTCTGGTCCTAAGGTTCAGGTACTCCTGGCCAGTGATTGGTCAGGAAAGGGTGTGTGACCCAAGAGTGGCCAGCTCAGAGGCGGCCCTGGGATTTTTTTCTGGAGCTTTTTTGAAAGAGAGCTCTCTTTCTGCGAGGCTGGCTAGGCAGATGGAACGAAAGCCTGGAGTTGCTGGTGATCCTCTTTGCTACTATGTGGGGAGGGCCTTCTTGAGAGTGAATCCAGCACAGAGGAAAGCGTAAGGGACAGAGACAGAGAAAGAGAGAGAGGAACGGAGACTTCTGAAGTACTGATAAAATTGTCAAGCCCTGGATTCTGCAGTCAGTGTGCCTCTGGCCATCCCATTTCTACAAGTCAATAAACCCTCATTTTTAATTTTAATTGAGGTGGAGTTGGGTATTCTGTCAATTATGACCAAAAAGTTATAAAGAATAAAGCCTGTTTAAGCTCCCAGTCACATCTGCCCTGGTGTGATAATTCTTCACGTACACAGCACATCTATGTCCTTTATCAGACTTAGGGTCTTGACAGCTGAAGGATCTGCAGCTTTGAGGCTCACTACCCCCTGCCATAAGGCCAGAGAGTGGTACCTAGAAGCTTATGGAGGTGAAAAGTGTCAAAGCTGTGATGAAGGGTCTGTGCTCAGGTTCTAGAGTATATAAAGGTAGTCACTGGGCCTCATATTAAGGGGAACTCATCTAACTCTACAACACGCAGGTCACTGGATAACTTTACGTGCCCATCGTCTCCTCTCATCTCAGCTAAATTCACTTGACAGCAGTATTATTCACTAAGGGTCAGGCATTGTGCTAAGGGCAGAAGATATGGAAGTGACTAAAACAAAGCCCTCATCCTGGTGTAGACAGACATTAAATTCTATCACTGGATCCAGTCACTCCCCAAGTCTCAGTAGCTGTGGGGATAAATTCCTTAAAAAGGCAGTGATGGGAGCTTACGGATAATCCACACAAAGCAGTCAGTGTGAAAGCAGTCCTTGTTCAAAACAAGAGCTCAGCAAATAGTAGCTGGTATTATTATCATCATTACAAAGCTAATAGTGACAAATACATAATTGCAGATTGATAGCTTATAGTGAGGAAACAAACAAACAGAGCACTCTCAGGGCTGGCAGGGGGAGTGGAGAGAAGGGAAGGATCCTCAGAGGAAACACCAGAGGGCCCAGAGGGGAAGCAGGAGGCTGGGAACCATGCCATCGGGGCCACAGTGCAGCAGCTGATGAGAATGAAGGGAGATGGTGCTGAGATTCAAGTAAGGGCCGGAGGGCAGGCCTTGCCGAATGCAGAGGCCCAGGCAGCCGGGGCGGGAAGCGAGGAGACTCACTTGCTGATGTACTCCCCAGTGAGGATGACACTGCAGGTTTGGCATTTGAAGCAGCTGACATGCCACTGCTTGTCCAGCGCCAGGAGTGACTGGCCGTGCTTGATCTCCTCCTTGCACCCAGCACAGTCTGCAGAGACAAGAGGATGCCACTCTGACCCCACCATCCCTGGCCCAAGTCAAGGAAACCCCTCCTGGAAGACCAATATTCCCACAGTGGCTCCACCCTGGCACCAACAGCTGCCCAGAGACTCTACTGGGTGAGAGAAAAGGCCACTGGATCCCTGCCTCTTGACAAGGGTCTTGGTGTGGGGGAGAAGGAAAGACCTCCCTGTGTGTCATCCAGAGGGCTTCCCGCACTGCTCCTCATGTTGCTAACTAAGCTCTGCTTCTCCCTGTGACCTCGGTGCCTGCAGCATCAGCATCTCCTGGGAGAATGCGGCGTGCAGCATCGTGGCCCCAGCCAGACCTATCAAAGTTTAACAAGATCTCTGTGCACAGTAAAGTTTAAGAAGCACTGCTGCCGGGGGCAGGTTATGCATACATTTTTTTCCTCCTTAGGCTGTATACTTGCAAGGGTAGTGTCTGTATTTTGGGGTCCAGTCTGTGCCCTTGCCCAGCATGGTGCTCAGCACATAGTAGGCACCTCAAAGCTTATCTGCTGAATGAGTAGGAAGGAGTGGGCCTGACAGTACTTAGGCAAAGGAACAGGTGTACCATGCCCTCTCCTTCCCCTGTGTACTTATATGCTTACATTGCCCTTCCCAGGGAGAAAGGATTAAAAGTCTGATGAGACTGTCCCAAACCAGGAATGTGCTCTCACTTTCCATCACTGTCACCCTGGACTGTGCACTGGGGCGACTAAATGTGGGCCGAGCGGGTGTTCTGCCTGTTGGTCAATGAATCCCCGCGGGGGGGGGGGCAGGAAATGGAGCCGGAGTCCAAGGTACTTGAGAGATGCTGGGAATTTGGGCCCAGCCGACCAGATGACCCACTTTGGAGGAGGAAAGGGTCATGAGGCAAAGTTTACCCGAGGACAAACCTCCCTGTTGGCACCACAAGATCAATCCACACTTTGGAGTAGTGAGGAGAAAGCAATGGTACAGAAGTCGGGGATGCTGGCCAGACAGCCCCCCACAGCCAGTTGGGAGCCCGTCCTGCAGGGAAGATGATGTGTCTGCACATCTAGGAAGGGTGGTGTGTCCAGGCTCTCAGGAGGTCTGGGTCCCTGATGAAGTGTTTGTACAAGTCACTTCCCACACTGCCCCGCCTCCTGGCTGTTGAGCTCCTTTCTAATGTCCCTTAGTACAAGCTGGGGGCAGGAAGTCCTCCAATTGCAAAATGCTTCAAGCCTCAGGCCTCCATATGGGGGCTGGGAGAATAGAGAGCTTTGGCACTTAACTCTTTCCCTTTCTTTTCTCCTGGCATAAGTCTACACAGGGTGCCAAATCAAAACAAAACAAAACAAAAGGGATACACACTTTAAGAAAGGGGAAAACTATATTAAAATTGCAATACTCAATATATATCCTTAAAAAAAGACGAACACAAGTTACATTGAGCCTTCTTGTACTTGCAGAAGTCAAATACGACTTGAGTATTCAAGACAATGTAACTTGTCTTCATCTTTTGTTATGGGTATATATTGAGTATTGCGATTTTAATACAGTTTTCCCCTTTCTTAAAGTGTATGTACCTTTTTTGGACACCTTCTGTGTAAGTCTCCCTGCCACCCTTCCCCAATCATTACAGGCTTCGGAATACCCTTTAGAGAGGTCAGGTACCCCTATTCTTTTATGGACAGACAATTGTCTGAAGTGACTCACCCAAATTCAGTGTACAGGAATCTGGGAGATGCAAGGGTCTGATCAATCTTTGTAGTAAACAATTATAGAACTTGTGTCCCTGTGAGTTACCATAACAGAGCTTAAAAATTCCATAGGGTTTCAGAGTTCACAGCATTTGGCTAAATGTCCCATCTAGTACATGAATTTACAGAATTCTTGACAGATGGGCACCATTTTTAAGGCCTCAAGGGGTGGGTGGCTCACCCTCTCTTGAGGAAGTCCACTCTGCCTTTGGACAGGTATGATTGTCATTATGTCTTTATATGGAGCCCAGACCTGGTTCCTGTGTCTACCTTTACTCTTAAGCACTGAGAATAATCTACTTCTCTTCCTATGTAACAGTTTCTTCAAATAAATAAAGACAAATACAGTTTCTTTCTTCTTCATACCTTACACTTGACTTTTCCTAGCTTGATATGGTCAGCCACTGATCAAATTCACTTAGGGATTCCATGGAGATACACGTATTATTGGCCAACAATTCTCTACCTCTTTAATAATACGTATTTAATAGCTGTATCCTTTCATGGCTGCATTCTAGTAATAAGTGCTATCTGTAAGTTTTGGTGATGCATCTGAGATAAATTTAGTGTC